TTGAAATTGCATATGTGAATTCAATATAATTCTGAAGATGAAATATTATATACAAGGCTCTACAGAGTACATGACATGGTAAGATTGTCCATATATGATCAGGGCCTAAAGTGTTTGGAACCATGGTAGGTAGAAGCAGAAAAAGATCTATTTACATTTACAGCTCATCATTTTCTGTATCTAGATTTAGAGACCTTAATTCACCTTTGGGGGAGGCTGCTGCTTTAAGAAAAATCTCAGAATAGCCCTTTAATTAACCAGATGTAAAACACTGTACTCACTCATTGTCCTTGAAGGAAATGGTGACATTATTGTTAAACTGTAGGTATTGATAAAGTACAACTCTATAAAGTTTACCAATGAACACTGACCATGAGGTCATAGAAGCACTTGGGATCCTCATTATTGGTACAGATTCTGAACCCCTTCCTGGACATCAAATTCACTCTGGCCTGGGGAAAAGCCCTGAGGCCCATAGGAGCCTGAATTTTCCTCAAATGATGCTGTGGTTTCAGGCCACAACAGCTTAGCTAGTATGTGGTGGAGTAGGGCCAGGTTGTCTGATTCTCTTTCTAATATGAAAACCTCTGAGTAGAGATGCTCTGGAATGTCTTACTGGATTAAAAGTATAGGAGCAGCATGGTGCTTCTAGAGAGAACAAGCCTCAGCCCATGGGTGGGCCATGGGCATGCCTTAGGAAGACCACGGTATAAATTGTCCCAGCCTCTGAGTACCTAGGCACAAGCCTGGCCCATGGAAGATGAACCACTCATGCTAGTGTCCTTGTCATCCCACTGCAGGCACCAGAAGTCACTGACTGAACAGGGGCTGCCATCCCAGACCAGCAAGGAGAATTCCCATTCCCCAGTGCTTCTTCTCTTTCTACCAACAGAGTAAGTGCAAAGTGCTAGATGACGTGGTTCCCAGTTCTTTCTCTAGCCAATACCTTACTACAGTCCCAGTTAGTTGTTTGGGCCTCGGCTTCCTCCCATTTTCTTATGCAATCAGCGGGGATTCTCCTCAAGCCAATACAACTTAAACTTTTTGACTTTTTTTTTCATATTCCCAGAATCTAGGTAAGTTTGTTGACTGCATGAATGTATGGACCAATGATGTTCTGGTGTGGAAGTCTCATAGGTACCTGCAGCTCTGCCCCCTTAGGCATCTCCCTCTCTGGTCTTAAAAAGGTCCTTATTCTGCATTTGATATTATCATCCCAGACAAAGGAGGCAACTTTGGCACAGATATCTTCTGCTTAAAGGAGGCCCATTGTGTGCAAACATAGTTATGGGAATAATAAATTATGATGATGGTGGTTCTTTTAAGCAGACATCTGTGAGAAAAGATAAGCAAAAACTCACCATAAAAGCCTTACAATGATGGGCAGGGCCTGGGAAAGACTAAGAATACAAACAATGAAGGGCTATCACAAAAGACAGAAAATTGTTTCTTACAGTCATGAATATGCTTTAAAAAAACCCACTAACATTTGGCATGCTGTCTTTCTACATTTCCTTCTTGTCATGCATATATACTTTTGAATCACACTATTTTTTATTCCACATAACATAAATATTGTTGTTATAAACTTCTTGCAAATATCAGTTGTAGTGGTTGACTAATACTCCATGTATAGATGTACCATAATTTTTCAGCCTCTCCCCTATCATTGATTTTTTTCCCTGTTATAACTAATTTTTTTCTCTTTTATAATTAAGTAACCCTGCAAAGAAGATCTTTATGCATTAAATTTATTTCAAATTAAAGACTGTTTCCTAAAGATAGGTGGTCAAGGGTCTAATGCTGGATCTCAGAGAGGGAGACACGAGATTCTAGAGACTATATAATTGCTAATTTGGGGGAATTTTATCGTTTTTCTTGAAAATCCAGGTTCTGGATTCTGACAGGCTGAGTGCAAACCCTTGCTTGGGCATTTAGCTGTGTGAACTTGGGCACTTTGGTTGACCTTTCCACGTCTCAGTTCCTTAGCTATAAGTTAGGGATGATCACACACTCCACATAGGGCTGTTGTGAAGACAAACACACAAATATATACCAAGCTCAGGGCTTAGTGCACAGCGTGCTTCATGCAGATTAGCTAAAACTACTTTGTCTTTGATTATCAATAAGGATGGACCATGTCACTTATGCATATTGTCTGCTTATATTTCTTTGTGCCTGTGTGTATGTATGAACCAAGATATATTATTTTAGAGTGAAAAAATGAAACCCTAAGGGATTCTAAAAGGGCATATTTATCATGCAACCTGCTGGGCACATGGTTCAGCTAACCCCAAAGAAAAGCAGGTGCGAGGTCGTATACTTATACACAGCATCTCTTTTTTGCTAGTTTTAAGATCTGGCATTTCCTGTCTTTTTCCTCTTTAAATGATTCCTTTAAGACTAACTACATTTTTAAGTATGATTTTTATTTTGTCGGTGGCTCCTGTGGGAATCTCATTAACCGTGGAACAAATTCACAGGGAAACTGGATTTGGTTTCCAGAAATCTGTAGTACCACCGACCTTTCTGGGAGCACATTTCTCTGCACAGTAAAAACTCCCAGCGCAAGAAGCCCCTGCGGCTTTGGGCCGCTTTTAGCCCTCCAGGAGCTCAGAGCAGCGTGAGCAGCCGCGGCAGCTTCCCCTCCCACTGACAGCGTCTGTAAATCCATTTCCTGTCTTGTAATTATGTCTCATGTAGTAATTAGCCCCTTCATATCAATGGCGCCAAATTTCCATGTGTAAGGGAGTGAAGCCTGAGTGTCTGAGTGGAATAGAAATGCCGTTTTGGCCAGCGGGGAGGAGGGCTGCTTAGAGAGCCTCTTGGGGGCCGAGGGGACAGCGCTGTTCTCTTTGCGGAGTCCTACTGTGTGCCAGGCCCTGTGCTGGGCCCTTTGATGCCCGATTCTGTATACCCTCACACCGATCCCTCCTCTCCAACGCCTTGACCTTTGCTCTCACGGCAGAGTGCCGCATCTGTACACTCCCCGGGGGGAAGCCGTCAGCGGCGCCTTGGTGTGCAGATGACCTGGCGAAGAAGGTGCCGAAGGAGGGAGTGGAAATTCCTTCCGCTCGAGGAGGAGCAGGAGCCGCTCAAGGTTAGCTCTGCGGAGGTCTCTTTCCCTCCTGGAATTGCACCGGGACCACCCGGCCTGCACAGCCCTGACGCAGGCTGGCACTCGCGGAGCCAGCATCAGGGTGGCCAGAGACAGCGGAAGCACAGAGGGTTCCGGGAGCCCAGAGCCCCACAGGGACCCAGCCCTGCAGCCCTCGGGAAGACAAGGCAGCGAAGCCTGCCTGGGCAGACACAGGGCTGGGGGCGTGGGTGGGCGCCGTCTCAGGGCCTGGAGCAGGGAACTACTCTCAGTATCAAAGAGCTCGTGCCCTTCCTCTCACCTCCTCCATCTTCCTCCTCTCCTGTCTTTTTCCCGTCACGTCTTAGGCGGCTCCTTTCCTTAATTAGGCAGTGTTTGGAGGGAATCCATAATCCTTTGGCTTGACAGAGAATGCTGGAGGGAGAGGGTGGACACAAATTGTCCGAAAGGCTAAGAAAAGAGTAGGAAGGACATTGGATTCACCTTGAATCTTTCAGCAAACTGCTTGGGTTACAGCTAAATCCCTTAGAGTCCTATCTCTAAAATGGGGATAATCAGTGCCTTGCACACTTGCTGCACTGAGAAGTAAGGGAAATGTGCCCCATTTTGGCTCAAGTATGTGCTGGTTTGTCAGTGACATGTCTGAGGAAATAGGTACAAATACAT